GATCAGGGTCTGTGGTGGAAGGGGTAGGGCATGGCATCCAGCTACAGGCATGGTGGCAGTAACATGAAGCTGAGAGGGAGCACCTTGTTAACTGTAAACATGGAATAGAAAGCCAACTGGGAGTGGGACCGTATTTCCCTATAGACACTCCAGGAGCACCATCAGCTAGGGCTAAGTGTCCAAATGCTTTGCACCAGTTTGTGCTCTCCAGCTTTGGAACACAGGCTGCAGTGAAGCTGTAGTGCCAACAGCTGTAGTGTTCCTGTGCAACAGGAAGGAGGTGTTCTTTGCCTGAGGTTCCAGGGGAGCAACAGGTCAGTTCTGGACACTGGTCTCAGGTGGCCTTGTGGAGCAATGGAGAGGCAATGGCCTTTGTTCTTTCTGCTCCTCAGAAAGAGCTGGGACTGCAGTCTTTCTCCCTGGGGATCTATAGCCTGCCCGAGACGCTGCTCCCAGCAGATGCCTTCATCGCCTGGGTGATGGCCGTGAGATGAAAATTTGATGGAATGAGGGCACAAGCTTCAGGGCTTCCAATATTTCACTCAGTATTTCAGCCACTGCTTACCCAGCACACATGCTTTTCGGGGAATTTGGAATATAGATGTATCAAGCCACACACAGGAGACTGGTTGCTGTCCCTGGCTCCCTCAGCTCATGGGCTGGCCTCCATGGTTGAGGGATGTCTTCTTCCTTTCCAATCTCACATCCACACATTTTCTTCTCTCCTTGTCAGACTTGTGCTCTGAACCCATTTCTGATCCGCATGCAGCATTAGGCAGTGCTTCTAGAACACTGTTCTCCCTGAGCACAGGCTGCTGTGAGGTAAAGGACACTAAAGGGAGTCATAGCACTTGAGTTACCTCCGTGAGTCCTTGAGATCACACCTCAGTCGGTGCCTTTTGACTCTACGTAATCCTGAGAAGCCACATGAAGGTTCAGGAGAAAGGTGCTTGGGATCGAGACTGTGGTATGGGCATATGGTATAGATACCTGTAGAGAATGGGTGGGCATGGTGGCATCTTGGTGATGTGACATTTGTCACTCTTTAAAACAAAGGTCTTGTGATTGGGGAAGGTGATCATCCAGGATGTGGGGTGGGAGCCATCTTGGCTGTGAATCTTTGGGGGTCACTGAGGAGCAGCTGGCAGTAACGGGAATCCTCTGCTAGTACCCTTGAGGACTAGATTTACTTGTGGACTACTCCAGTAGCAATAGAGGATAAGGAATTGAGCCCTACTGTTACACACAGTTTCGGAAGCTGTTGCTGCCTTGGGTGTTAATCACTATTGCACAAAGCTCTGATTCCTCCAGAGAGCATCTGTCTCCTTCCGTAGCATGGCTTTGATGGGGCAGGGACCTGGCTTTCCCCAGCGCCTGCTCCTTTTCTTTGTTGTTTTGTTCCCTATTTCAGGGCTTTGCAGATGTTCTCTGGTTAAAAAAAAAAAAGTTCATGTCTGCTGCTAAAAAGAGTGCATTTCTAAAAACCTTTGTGGAATTTTAAGGTTCCAAGAGCATCCCAGTACCTGAGACAGTGTGTTTTGTTGAGGGTTTCCTCCCACCCCCTTACCTACAATTTCAGCTTTCTTTTCTTACCCTCATGGCAGCTTTGTGAGTTGTGACTGGAGTTTGTGTCTGTGGTCCCTGGTGGAGCCCAACAAGGTGGGGGCGGGGAGCATGAAGTCATTGTGGTGACCCTGCAGACCAGGCTGTAATACGTACCTCATGGGCCTTGGCTGTGCTGGGGCTTGTGTCCACCAACCAAATGATGCACTCAGGATGCTGGCCTGATAAAGGGCATCAGTGACCTATTAGCTCAAAGGTACTGAGGCCCCAGGAAGGCACACAGTGGAGCTGTGGAATTGAGAGCTTTCTTAGAAACTTGACATTTGTAACCAGGCTCCTCCAGGCTACAGGTGAGGACCCAGTGGGTCTCGACCACCCCAGTTCAAGCTCATCCATCAATCGGTCATCTTCCTCGTTCTCTGTCCTTCCTTGTTCAGTGTCCTTGCCTGGGCACTGTGCTAGGCTCTGCACTCACTAGAGGATCATTGATTGTTTAAGATGCTGTGGAGATCTGACAGGCTTGTGATGACATCATGCTGATTTCCCGCCATGTGACCATGCTTGCACGCTGTGGGTTGAACTGTGTGACCTCAGCATTGCTCAAGCTCTTCTGACTGTACCTCCAGTTTGTCTCATAAACAAGCCCCAGCCATCAGAGGGACAAAGCCTACTAGGGACCTGTCTTCTGCTCTGCTTTCCTTAGTTGCTGCTCCCTGTAGTAGGGAATGGGGCTTGGCTCTGAATGAGCCCAAGGCTTCTCAGGAAAAGGAAGGTTCAGGATGACTTTGGCTTCCACGCTTCTTAGTTTCTACCAGGAGTTGATGTAGCCAGGAGGAACTGAGGTTAGGGGAGGTCCGTGCAGAGGCCTAGGGAGGCTGTTGTGTGCATCTATGCACAGTGGGGTTGATGGCACTGTGGTCTCCCTAAAGTGGGGGAGCCCTGTGGAGATGTATGGTGTCCCTTGCTGAAAGAGGTCCCCTGTGGGGCTGCTCAGACGGAGCATGAAGGCAGCCCTGGCCCCTGAAGCTCATCCTGTGGCCTTCCTGCGTGCTTCCTCTGCTCCCACAAGTGTGTCCTCATGAATCTTGGGAGCCCGTGTGGGTAGCACAGTCCCTGCACCTTTGTTCTGTCCACTCGGCTATCATTCATGACCCACTGGTCATGATTATCAGAGACTAGTGAAGGGACTGGTGTCATATTTTACATGCCTCATCTGGAGTCCCAGTAGCCTGTCACTGCAGGGGGAGGTCAGGACACAGCACCTACTTTCCTTTGTTGAGCTGACTAAAGACTGTTAAGTTCTGAGCACTTGTCTAGCGTGCAGGAGAGCCTGCGTTTGTTGCACTGCACTGCAAAAGGGGTGGGGTGGGGGGAGTAATTAAAGCCCAGAGCTAGGTTAGTGATGGAGAGTGATGAGCCACCGTGGAGAACACTTGTGGCATCAAACAGGAGCCAGGCAGCCTGGGCCACACCTGTCAGAGGCTCAGTGGGCTACCCACACCCGTCAGTGGTAATGTCTGCCCTACTGTTAAATTACAGTCCAGTAATACTTTATCTAAACTGGTGCCTGTGAGTGTGTTTCCTTCTTGTTACTGTATTCACTGTATTCCATGGAGTGAGTTTAACTGGGCACTACAGTTTCTTCTGTAACATTGTTTTGGTGAGGGTGTTGAGACAGGGTAGTCAGGTTGTCTTTGAACTTCTGATCCTTATGATCCGACATCTCAAGTGTGGCGATGGCAGGCGTGCATCACACCAGCTTTATTTAATGCAGGACATTGATCTTGAGCCTAACACATGCTTCATAAACAAGCCCACCATCGGCTGTGCCTTCGGCTCTGCCACACTGGGGAGATCCTTGGCAAGTGTATGCAGACATGCCCTGAGCTGGTCCTTGAAGCAGGTAGGCAGCTGCTCTGTTGACACCTGAGAAACAGGAGATGTGGTTTGCCTTAGCCCCTCTCCCTGCTGGGTAAGGAAGGTTCTATGTGAATGCTACATACATAGCCTTCGTTTCCATTGCTGTCTGTGGCACAAGGCTCAGCCACTGAGAAGCCACACGGAGGAAGGTGACAGAGATTGTGGTGCAGACATCTTTGACTTAAAGCACATGTCACTTTTCATTTGGTCCTGAGTATGCCAGCCTTCCCTTCCTTCAGACTGGGCCCTGGTTTTTAAAGAAAGATTTCAGAATGATAGCTGCCCACCCGCCCCCCCTCCTCCTAAGTCAACTATTTCATTAACCAAATTACCACAAAAATGAACATTCTGCAAAGATGCCACATGAGACTACAGTGCTTTTGTATGGATGTGTCTTGTCTTCTATAACTTCTGCAGATCACCCAGGTCCTCCTGACTCAGCTTCCCTGAGCAGAGAGGCCTCTCTCTGGGTGACTTGTCTCCTGAGACATTGGGGTTTCTAGGTCAGTGCAGGGCTAGTGATGTCTGGCCTGTGTTGGTTGTAGCCTCTTTGGTGTCAGGGATGTCTTCCTGGTCTGCTTGGCACCTCTTACCGTTTTTTCCAGCCACCTACAGTGGAGCAGCAGGCCATTGCTTTCAGCCCTGACACCCACTGGGTCTGAGTACCAAGCATCCTCCTGAGCATGGTGACCAACTTGACCTTGAATGTGTTGTAAGGGACTTTGTTTTTTGGACAGCTTAAGAGGTAACAGGAGTCAGCATTTGAGGAAGACTAAAGAGTGAATTATATTGGAAAGAGATGTGAAACCTGTGGCTGGCTTGTAGTAGGTACTACCTACCTCAGGCTATCGGTGTTTGTTTGTTTGACAGGAAGTGGCTCCAGCGTGAAAATCCTGTGAGCGAAGCCAAGGATGTTGGTTGTGGGGTCATAAGGTGTAAGGCAGCTTGGGGATAAGCACGGTTCTGAGTCCCTCAGTACGGAGGGCCCTTGTCTTCCTGACCTAGCTCCAGCCACCCTGGCTGAATAGCTCGTCTGGTTTCTTTCTAAGGATCCAAATATTCTGCACTCTGCAATCTTGCTGCTGGCTCTAGCCATTGTCTATATCCGTAGTGTGAGTGTGTGAGATTTTGGGAAAGTAACTGTTGCAGTGAAATTAAAAAAAAGATGACAATCTAGCTTGATACAAGGTCAGGCCCAGGCAAGTCAGGCTCCTGCCTCAGTCTCTCCACATTGTGCTGTGAACAGGACAGCCTTCAGGTCTGCTGTGGACACAAGGAAGGCCTGGAGCTTGAGAGAGGGAGGAAGGGCCAGGGTGAGAGGACTTCAGCATTGCTGAGTGTGGTATGCATTGTACATCACAGAGGCCAGAATGTGTACACTTGGCAAGTTCTGCCCTCCAGGGTCGAAGTAACATGAGCTGCTGGTATGGCCCTGCTTTCATAGTCCCCTCTACCAAAAATGACTGGCCGTGAGCTGCGTGTGGCATGTCTCCTCATGTTTTCATCCTCTATTACAGATGCTTTCGTGAACAGCCAGGAATGGACACTCAGCCGATCAGTACCGGAGCTCAAAGTGGTGAGTGGCATCCCTGGCCCATGGGAGGGAGGGGGCTGGACTAAGCAGGGTGTGAGTGTGCAAGCTTGCCTACTCGGAATTCTGTTTCCTGAGGCCTCTAGGTAGGACCTGTTCTGTCTGGGGGGTGTGTACCTGGAAAAAAGACCATTGTTGGCCACAAGGAGCAGCAGCCTTGAGTGTGCCCTGCAGGGCCGGAACAACCATCCAACAGGTGGTAGTTTGTGTACAGGACTAAGGCTGTTGTCTGTGTTGCGCTTTCCCCGCCTGACTCTGTACTTCTCTGTCTGTGTCTCACACATTTCTATACATACACCACTGTGGATTGACCTGTCCCTTTCTGGGTGTATGACAGCCTCTGTAACAAGCCATCTGAAGTCATAATATTTAAAAAGTAACTACTGTTCATGCAATTACGGATTCTTGGCCGAAGTCAGAAGTTCTGTTTTTAATAAAAGCAACTGCTGGTAGAGTTAAAGCTTATAGCTGGCTTCTGTGTTTCCCATTGCAGTTGTCTCTGAGAGCCCAGCTCCATTGCTCCCCTCCTGGCTTAGCATGGAAGGAACGGAAAAACGCACATTTTAAATAATTGTGTTGTTTGTCATTGGATATGGGGCACTTGGTTGTGTTTGTGTACACACACACACACACTCACACACTCACACACTCTTCAGTTTATCTAGTATTGGACTCCATAGTTTACCTGCTACAGATGGTGAAGGCCCTCAGTTTGGGCCCACCCACTCCCTGTGCATTTTCCCAGTGTGTTCACTCTTTCTCCCCATCTCCCCAGTGACCCACCTGAACCTCCAAGGCCCCCAGGTTCCTCTGTCCTGTTGTCCCTACCTCAGTGACGCTGAGAGGATGGGATAAGGACTTTTGTGTCTCACACCTGAGATGGAAGTAAGCCACTTCCTCCAGGACACTGGTGTGTCTCAGCAATGCCCCCCAGTGTGGTTATCTGCTTATGGAAGACAACTCTCCAGCCTCTGGGGTTCTGCAAGACCAGCTCTGAAATAGCTGTGTTGTCTCTCTTGTATGTTTCATAGCTTTCGTAACTTACACAGCATATAGAGTGTTCTGGAACTACCTAATGAGTGACACAGGGATGGCAGTGCGATTAACAGGACATTTTCATCCAGGTTGGCCAGTTTCAGATACTCCTGGTGAGAAACTCAGGTGCTGACCCCTCTGGTTTTAGACTTAGTGCCAAATAACAAGGCCATGGTGTTTTCACAAGGTGTTTATGAAGCATATACTCCACTGGGCATGCTCTGCCTGCAGGTTCCATGTAATTATGGCCTTCGGTCCTCACAATTACTCCATGAGGGGCAGGCTCTGTTGTCATCCTGTGTCACAGGTAAGGTTTGAGACATGAAAAGCTTACCCAGAAGCTACCTACAGTCAGGTAGAGCTGGGATTTGAAGCCAGCACTGCCTTGGAGAGCCTTCTGTATATCTGTCCCAACTGTTCCTGTAGCCTCTGGCATCATGTGTTCATTTAAGTCATAGCAGCTGTGGAGTGGGGTGGGGGTGGGGTGCTTCAGCCTCCCAGCAGCACACAGATGCCTGGGAACCAGGTGTTATTGGTCCTCACCTTCCTGCGAAACTACCTGGGAGTTAAAGGTTGACAGGGCTTAGGTGGGTTCAGTTTGGTTGGTTTGGGTTTTTTAAGACAGCATCTTAAACATAATTTTAGCTGCCATGAAACTCACCGTGTAGCCCAGGCTGGCTTTTAATTCACCATCTTTCTGGTTCAGCCTCCCAAGGGCTAGAATTATACAGACTTGTGCCACCATGTCTGGTCCGGTCCACATACTCTTATCAGCCAATAATAATTGAGAATTGTTGTTACTAAAACTCTATTTTCTGATATATGGTTTTCTGTTTTAAGCATTGGTATGTCTAGCAGGTATTAGCATTTAAAGAGACAGTGTAGGGTTCACTTTCTTAAAGCTCACTTGAGCTCAAGGGCTCATCTGTGGTTTGAGGATGGCCAGGAGCTCTGCTGTGGTGGGCGCCCTCTTATGGTGGCATCAGCAGGCACCTCGTTGTCAACGGCACCTCACTCTGTTCTTGCCTGGTAAAGATGCTCAGGTCTCAAGAAGCATTTGTTTGTTCTGTGAAGCATTTTCCTTCCCATGCTCACAGGGATGTTATTGTTTCTACCCTCTTGCAGCACCCGAGACAGGCAGGTGGCCCTTTAGGTCATCACTGTGGGACCCTCAGCCCTGCTTGGAAATGGGATGATGTCACTGAGTCTCCAATGGACCTTTTATGGAGTCTTTCTCAGCGAGTCTTTCAGAATACATACATACGGTTCACTGTTTGCTTCTGTGAGAGTGGCGGGCCTCTGCCTGGGGCTCTCTGAAGTCGTGCTGCAATTGCTCTCAGCACTGCAGATTGGTGCCAGGCTACACAGGCTCCGTGCCTCCGTCTGTGTGGAAGCAGTAGGCAGACCATGCAGAGGTGCCACCATGTATTTTGCTTATACTCTGAGCTGGGATTCCATTTTTACAGCACATTCCTGTTTAGTAGTTGAGTAGAAAACACAGGGTGCTAGAGAATTGAGTTTATAAAGGTGTTGTGCTCTGCTTCTTCTGAGAGTGTGATAGCATGAGGCACCGAGCCCTAACTGATGGCCTGCAAGGCATGGCAGGGTGACATCTTCTCCTGCCTGAGATACCCAGCTCGGGCATTATCAGGGCACCCATTTATGCCCATGAAGCCCTTGGACCCAGGCTGAGTTATTTCCTCTTCTGCAAGCGACATTCAGGAGTGGTTGTCATGTTTCTCAGGAGGGCCACATTCTAACAGATGCTAGTTCTGCCACTGTTTCAAGATAAAATGTTGCAGCTCACAACCTATGAGATGGGTACAGAGGCCAAAGAAACCTCTGCCCCAGCCCTGGGGTGGGCGGCACTGGCCTGCTCAGGTATATGCCATACCATTGCCCACTGTTGCAGGAAAGAGCCCCTGGTGTCACGACACAGAGAAAGCCCAGCTGCACAGTGCTGGCTGAGTAGGGGAACATTTCTTCCAGGACGAGAAAGTAATCTTAATTAAAAATTTCATTTCTGTGGCATATACTAGCTTGGATTTTCTCAGCTTGAAGCTGACAAACAGCAGGTGCCCTTGAGCAAAAGAATAATTAATAGGCAGATATTCTCAAATTGTGGAGGCTCAAGGTTGGAAGATGCTGGCTGGCCTTGGAGGGGAGATAGCTTTCTTTGTGCAGGAACCGTCCACATGCTCTGGTCCTTAGCCCAGCTCTCGGTGGTGGGGAAAGCTCATTTATACTCACTAGCGTGCGTCACACACCAGCCATTCACACACTGGCTCCATGGGGGCTGTGCATCTTCTTTGGGCTGGGTGCCTTGGCAGGGCCAAGAACAAGATGAGGGAGACACAGTCCCTTCCCAGAAGGGGGTGGAAGTCACAGCCGCACACTGAGAGCTGCTAACCACTGCTGTGTGCAGTGAAGCAGCCAGAGCCAAGGCCTGAGGGCATCTTGCTGGCTCCAGGTAAGGGTGTGGCATTAAAGTGTCCTCTTCCACCACTGTGACTAGATATAGTGGCTTATGAACAGTAAAACCTGTGTTCATAGTTCTAGTGCTTAAGAGTCAATGGTATCTGCAGATTTGGGAGCTGGTGAGGATTTGGAGGTCATCTTCCCTGTAGATCACAGGTAGAGTTCCTGCTGAGGATTTGGGGATCATCTGCTCTGTAGATCACAGGTAGAGTCCCTGCTGGGCTACTTTCAAATGTATACTGATCCCATATGGACAGTGTTCCTGTGACCATTCCCTCTCAGGGACCCATCCCCCAGTATAACACCGGGTGCCTGGGGACATTAGCATTCAGAAGCCAATGGATGTGATTTCTGAACTGGCTGTTGACCCTGAATTGGAGTATGATTTAGGGCTATGATTAGTCAGTGTGGAAAGTTCTACTCACTTGGAGACAACAAGTCCACAGAGATGATGTTGGTAGCTTGTGAATTTAGGATTCAAAGCCAGGAAGTAGGAAGCAGAGTGGCGGAAGGGCAGCAGGCGTGGTGAGAGGGCCAGGACAGCCTGCAGTGCAGGGACAGTCACACAGGCTGTGGGGGCAGTTGGCACTGGGTATGGATATATGGTCATTGAGCAAAGAGTAGAATACACAAGGCTGCTGAGTATAGCAGCTCCCTGATGGCACGGTGGGGGAAAGGCAGGGCTCCCAGCACAGGCCAGGTGCTCATTCACCCACCCTTGTCTGCCAATATTATTTTCTACCCACTGTGATCCCTGGGCTGTCCTGGCCACAGCTTGACTGTGGCTTTTCTCTTGGATGTGTGTTTCTGAGAGACAGGCTTGCTGCCTACTCTCTATGGGCTCTGCCTCAGGCTCTGCCTCCCCTCCCCCATCCCAGTGCCTCCTGCTCCCAAGTCTTTCCCATGTTCACCTTTTTAGAGTGGAACACACCAGATGGCCCTATCTATAAATGACTGTGTAGCATCGTGTCCCATGGAACTGTTCCTCCTGAGTATGGGAGGCACCTGTCCTTGTGGACAGTTGAGCCAGTACACATGTGTCAGACAAAGTGAACAGGGGTGTTCCCAGAAGAACACCAGCATGCTAACACTCTAACAGTATCCAGCACTATTGAAGACAGGAGTTGACTATCTCCAATAGAAGTAGTCACTGCGTTCATTTTTGAGTGTCTCCCCAACATTTTGGCAAGGGTGATTATGATCACATGTGCAAAAAAATCACCTCTAACTGTTGTCTTATTTTTTGCCGCAGGGAATTGTGGGTAACCTGGCCAGTGGCAAGTCTGCGCTGGTGCACCGGTACCTGACAGGCACATATGTGCAGGAGGAGTCTCCAGAAGGTATGCTGTTCGGCAGGTGCTTAGTGACCAGCTTAGAGTCCAGGGTTTGAATGTTCTCTTTAGCATATTCTAAATCATTGATGACCCATGTCAGGGCCATAAGAAAGCCACCAGGCAGCAAAGAGACTTAGGGATATGCTCCCTCCCATAGGGACTTTATAGTGCATCCATGCCAGCATTTTGAGCATTAACCGTGAGATGTTTTCGAGTACATTCCCACTGTAAAGCATGTACTCCGGGACCTTAGTCCAGTGCTACCCCTTTGAGTACTGGTTGGACATCTCTCTGAACTGGACACTGACCTTGTGCTGCTGCTCAGTCACAGACACTAGCATTGCTAGATACAATCCAGATCACCCCGCCACGTGTCTAAGTATGTGTCCCTTTATATTGTATTATAAACATGTAATAATCATTTTGCATGTGAGTTAGGCATTTTTTTTGCCATTAGACATTTTGATTCTTCTGTTGACATACCCATGTCTTACTGTGGTTCTGTTCCTTTTCTTGCTGTAAGTAACTTTATGATAGTGGAGAGCCCTTAGTCCCCTTAATGCAAGCGTAGCCCACGAGCCATTTCCTGAACTGTATTTTCTCCCCGTGTAACCTTTTGAAATCCAACTCTGAGACGCTGAATTTCTGGTTCCTTCTTTTTCTTACTGGCTGTTCCATTCTTTGCAGATATGGACGCAGGTAACTATACATTTTCTTCATGCAGTGCTTGTCTCGTTCTGGAGAGAGGAGAGGCACAACCCTGTACTGTAGCGCTCCCTTTCCACGCTGTTCTGTGTCTCATCCTACTTTGTCTCATTTCACCTTTTTCCTAAGTTCAGCATCTCACCCTGTTCCATCCCTTAGCTGTCTTTTGAGTAGTAGTCCAAAGTAGCTTCACGTGTCCCCTGTAACACATGTTTCCGCCCCTTAACTCTTGTCCTAAAGACGGTAGAACCATCTAGAAAGAACAGAATTCTGAGGGGCCTGCTTGGGGCTCTGCTACCACCCTGCAGTATTTTCCAGCCATGATTTGAAAGTCTCATGGCTGTCCCATCAGGGGAAGGCTCACTTTTTAAATTCTCCATCTGGAACGATGGTCTGAGGGGAGGAGGAGGAGGAAGAGGAAGAAGAGGAGGAGGAAAGGGAGGAGGGGGTCCAAACAAAGGCTTATGGATGAGACCAGATGGACAAAGGCTCGGGTTTGTGGGGACTACAGACCCAGGTACTCGGAACCCACAGTGTGGAGGAGGGAGGGAAGGTAGTATCTTCCCTCAAGACCCATCCTGGGCTATTCAAGCACTCTCTTCTTCATGCCTGAGTGTGAATGGTCACAGCCAGCTTGACTAGGAGTCTGGAGTGCTTTGGACTAGGGGCTTCCATGCCTGGGATTCACCATTGTACAGTTGGTAAAACCAGCTACCAAGTGTGTGCAACCAACCCAATTGTAAGGCAAGCATTTGCCTTTTCCAGGCAACTCTGATTTGAGCGTCTCCCAACACTTACATTTTGAGCTAGGATTGCTAGAAGTTTGAGGCCAGCTTCTGGTTCTCTTGCTGTCATGCTGTGGCTCAGAGGTAGGTTGTGCTAAAGTTGCTGATTCTAAAGGAAGAGGCTGGACCATATCTATATTTGGCTATTTTGTGGTGTCTGTCATTTTCCCATTGGACATTCAGTCTGTCCTAACATACCTGTGTCGACTTGATTTATTTCCAGTATAGAATACTACATTTTATTTCAATCAACATAGAGGTGTTTCTTTTGAACATTCACACATCAGAAGTAAAAATTGTACCCTGTGAGATGACCTCATTGGCTGCTAACACTCCCTGCCCCCATCTGCAAAGTGAGAATATATCATCACATTGGCAGACACATAGCTGAGGACTCCTGGATCTGGAGACAGAATTTAGACTGTCTCTCACACCCTCCCCCTTGCCTACCTATATGTATGTCCTCTTTCTTTGAACCTTGGGCTCAGGGTGATTGTTCTGTGTTCTGAGGATGCTTCAAGCAGCATTGTGCCCAGGAGGGCCCAGGTTACTAAGCTGCATCTCCTGTGAATGAGGAGACCTCTGTGTGCCTGGAAACCTCTTGGCCTGGGCCACCTATGTGTTCCTGTCTGGAATGCAGCAGATGGCAGCTGTTGTCTCTGTGCTTCTGAAGTTCTGAGACCTAGTTTCTGTTTCCTATCCCTATGACCCTCAGGTCCTACACCAGCAGCAGGAGGCAAAGGAATGTGTCATCAGCCTTTGGTTCCTCACACTGCTGCCTTGTAATCCTGAGATTCTACTGTGGGGTCAGGAAATTTAGAGCCAGAAGACAGTTGTGGTCTTTTCCTTGTAAGTTAATGTAGGCAGTTCTCATGGCAGCTGAAACTGAGAAGCTGCATGCACAGTGCTATGGGGTTGGTTATATGATTTACTGTTTTTATCCAGGAACATGGAGAGTCTTGGCTGGTGAGGCGTGCAGGAAGTTGTCAAGGATAGCTGTAGCTCCTCTACCCATCCCTTCAGTGACTCTTAGGACACGGGTGGGAGGGTGCAGCTCAGGAGGACGGGTGTGGAGCTCAGGAGGACGGGTGTGCAGCTCAGGAGGACGGGTGTGCAACTCAGGAGGACGGGTGCGCAGCTCAGGAGGACGGGTGTGCAGCTCGCTCAGGAGGACGGGTGCGCAGCTCACTTCCTCCAACAAAGCCAAACCTACTCTAACAAGGCCACACCTCCTAATAGAGCCCCTCGCTGGGCCAAGCGTATTCAGACTGCCCCACTGTGATCCCAACTTGCTCCTGGGAGGTTGGAGAATGGGGGGATAATGTGGTGATCAGCTTAAAACAGAGCATCACTCTTGGAGAAGAGCGCCGCCTCCTGACAGAAACATTTCTGGTGCAGTCACTCCAGACTGTTTTCTTCAGGTGCCTCTCAGTGTCACCACACAGGGTGGCTCAGTTCTCTTTTCTTGAGTGACACCTTTTTAGTTGGCATTTTATTCTATGAGAGAAGAAAGTTGACTTGAAAGCCTGGGAGATGTAGTCAAGAGAATTACTATGCATTATATTTAATGCTACTTTTAATGAGTGACTTAGGGAAACCTGTTTATTTCAGCAGGGAGCCTGTGATCCCTAGAAGGAGCCGAAAGAGTGCAGCTATTGTATGCTTGGTCTCCTTTATGTGTTCATGTGTGAGCGAGTGTATTTGTAAAGTGTGTGTGTGTGTGTGTGTGTGTGTGTGTGTGTGTGTGTGGTGATATATGATTGACACCAGAGTCCCAGGACTGCTGTTGCAAAATACCATAGACCAAGTGGCTGAAATCAGAAGTAATACCCCTCGGTGAAGTTTGGTTCCTTTAGGAGGCAGGCAGGGCAGATCTCTGGCGGTGGCTGTGGCAGTGGCGGTGTGCTACCATACCAGTATACTCAGAGCTATGTAAGGAGGGCTCAGCTTCATCTGTTCCCCTGGAACTGGGTTGGTTAGCACTGCTGGCTTTTAGTCCCACAGGACAGGACCAGGCTGGGTGTGACCCTCACACCTCCCCTTCAAAGCCCTATTAAATGCTGCCAATTAGAGTTGTGAATGTGTTTGGGCTGTGCAATTTCAGATCCCTCTCATGTGTTAAGTGCTTAGCATTCACTGTGTACCCTGCCTTCCCTCATACCAAACCCACGTGTTTCATGGACTTTTAACTCTCTATGGGGAGAAAAATAGAGAAACAGCTTGTCAACAGCATGTGGGAGGTGTTGGGAATCATGTGCCATCCCAAGACACTTGTTATGTCCTCCAGGGATGATAGGCCCTGGGCCCTGGGCAGTCCTCTCTAGGTGTTGTTTCCTCCTGTCTGTGAGTTGTGGTCCCAGAGGGCTGTGTGGATGGAAGGGCACTGAGACTGCAGAAGCTTGGCATCCCAGAGGCCTCAGTGTTTCTGTAGGGATGGATCCAATAGATGACTTTAAGGCTAAAGGCAGCAAAGCAGTGACTAGCAGTGAGAACATCAGTCACCCCTAGCTAATACTTCTCAGCCGCAGTCTGCTGAGGCAGTGAGAACATAGATCACCCCTAGCTGATGCTTCTCAGTCTGCTGATGGGCCAGGGCTAGAACTGTGGGTTGAAGTCGTATCGTCTGCAAACCACCATCTGTTCCCCAAATCCAGAATAAACAAACCCACATACACTAAATGGCGTCTGAGGCCTCCCCGCTATATGATTCACTCACTGCCTGAAGAGGAAGGAAGGCAAGTCTGACTGTCACTGGCTATGGCTTCAGGAAAGAAGGGCTACATCCAGGTATGGCCTGGGAGCACATGGGCCCGCTGTTCCAGTCCACATGGGCATAATTCCTAAGGGACTTGCTCTTCTTGCTGCTGACTTTTTCATTGCTCGTTGGCTCTTAGCCTGTTCAGATTTATAGGCAGAAACTCCAAGGTTGTGGTTGCCCTATGAATGCCTACACTGACAGCCAGTAGGTGTCTGACCAGTAGCTTGGTGATAGAGACACACCTCCAGGCGGCATGGCTCCACCTCTCTGCCCCAGCCCCGTTTCTGTGCTCTCCTGGCTATCCTAGAAGTCTTAAACACAGTGACCTCAACCACACACAGCGAGGATGTACAAACAGCCTGGAGCACTGGAGGGAGGTGGAGGAGTCCACACACAGTGTGTGCAAATGCTGCACATGCTGCAGTTTTAAGTTGTTTTGGTAATGATGGCATGAGGAAACATCCGAGCATGCTCAGTAGGTATGATTTATTATGAGGGGCATTTTTGATCTGTGGTTGGCTGGATCTGTGAGTGTGCAACAGGGGTATATGGAGGGTTGATTTTCTAAGTCAACTGACTGAGTCTCAACAGGTCTCAACTCTTCATTCCTGAGAGAGAAGCTCAGAGCATGTATGTTGCATGTTTACTTTTGATGGAGAGGTTTTCGGTTTGGTGAAAACAGTCTAGGAAGAAATGCAGTTCACATCTTGGGAGAAAGACAAACTGAGATGTATATGTGTGTGTAAGGGCTGGGGAAG